GGGGATAGAACAATTCAATAAGTTATGAATAATTGATATGAACTAATCACACCTTTAAACTAGATCAAGCCCCAGAGTAGCACTGAAAAGGGAAAAGCTGAGGAGATATAGAAACAAAAAGATAGGTAGGTCATGTCCAACTATGTACAATTATACAAGCTGGTAGCTCAGGGCTTGGTATGCTATCTAGTACTTGCCCAGAAATAGTCAGAGCACTAGGTCGTGTTGGCACATGAGGTGGGCTGAAGCAACTTGAACACCCCAACTTGTTGCTTTTCCAGATGTCACACTCTGAGGAGTTACTTGACCATACCTCCTCATAGTGCCAATGCAAAGAGATTGACCCTGTACATGGGCACACGCCCTTCACAGGTACTACTTTGGCTCATCCTCATGCTTGCTCTTCTTTGTTGGTAAGCTTCATATGGCGTGATACATTGGAACAATTTAGTTGCAACAAATGCCTGGGCCAAGGCTAAAAAAAATTGTAGATGTGAGTTTGCTATATTATTCATTTAATGTAGATCATGGAATGTCAGGGCGGGAAGGTGCCTTAAGGTGCCTTAGAGATCATCCGGGATGACTCCCGTTTTGTAGATAATGAAATTGAGGCTGGAGAGTTGGAGTGATTTGTTCAAGTTCACATAACTAATAATAATCATCTCACATTTGTGCAACATTTTAAAGTTTACCAAATGCTTACTTCACAACAATCCTGTGAGGTAAATAGCCCAAATATAATTATACTTTTTTCCAGCAAGTGGTAGAAGTGAGACTCAAACACCCAGATCTCATTCCAAGTCCAGCAGTCTTTTCACTATACCAAAATGGCCTCAAAACCTTTGTCCCTTGATGTATAACAATAGAAATTAGAAAATCATTAAAGATAATATAGTACCAACAAACCCAGCACAAAAGATAGACAAAGAAATTCCATTTAAAATAACTACAGACAATATAAAATACTTGAGAGTCTACCTGCCAAGACAAACCTAGGAATTACATGAACAGAATTACAAAAACACTTTCACACAAATAAAGACAGATCTAAACAAATGGAGAAATATTAATTGCTCATGGATAGGCCAAAACAATATAATAAAAATGACAATCCTACCTAAGTTAATTTTACTGTTCAGTGCCATACCAGTCAAGCCATCAAAGAATTATTTTATAGAGCTAAAAAATAGTAAAACACAATTCATCTGGAAGAACAAAAGGTCAAGAATATCAAGGGAATCAATGAAGAAAATGTGAAGGAAGATGGACTAGTAGTATCAGATCTCAAATTGCATTACAAAGTGATAATCATAAAAACAACCTGATACTGGCTAAGAAACAGAATGGTGGATGAGTGGAATAAATTAGATATACAATACACAGTAGTTAATGACCATAGTAATCTGGAGTTTGATAAATCTAAAGATCTAAGCTTTCATTATTTGACAAAATTGCTGGTAAACTGGAAAGCAGTTTGGCAGAAACTAGGTATAGACCACCTCTCACACTGTATGCCAAGGTAAAGTCAAAATGGGCACATGATTGTTGTAATAAAGGTTGATATCATAAGCAAATTAGAGGAGCATGGAAAAATGTACCTGTCAGGTCTATGGATAAGGGAAGAGTTTATGACCAAGCAAGAGGTAGAAAGGATTATGGGAAGTCAAATAGATAATTTTGATTATATGAAATTTAAAAGCTTTTGCACAAACAAAACTAATGCAGCCAAAATTAGAAGGAAAACAGGACACTAGGAAAAAATTTTACAAGTTTCTCTGACAAAGGTCGAAGTTCTCAAATATATAGGAACTAAGCCAAATTTTGAAAAAAATAAGAGCCATTCCCTAGTTGATAAATGGTTAAAGGATATGAACAGGCAGTTTTCAGAAGAAGAAATCAAAACCATCAATAGTCATGTAAAAAAATGGTCTAAATCACTACTGATTAGAGAGATGAAAATTAAAACAACTGAGAATATTACCTCTCACACCTATCAGATTGGCTAACATGACAAAAAAAGAAAAATGACAAATGTTGGAGGGGATGTGGAAAAATTGAGACACCAATGCACTTCTGGTGGAGTTGTGAACTGATCCAACCATTCTGGAGAACAATTTGGAACTATGCCCAAAGGGCTATAAAACTGTGCATACTCTTTGATCTACAATGCCACTACTAAGTCTGAATCTCAAAGAGATCTAAGAAAAGAGAAAGGACCTATGTGTACAAAAATATTTATTGCAGCTCTTTTAGTGGTAGCAAAGAATTGGAAGTTGAGGGGATGCCCATCAGCTGGGGAATGGCTGAACAAGTTGTGGTATGTGACTATGGTGGAATGCTATTGTGCTATAGAAATGACAAGCAAGATAGTTTCAGAAAAACCTGGGAAGATTTATATGAACTCCTAAAAAATGACATGAGCAAAATGAGGAGAACATTGTACATAGTAACAGCTATGTTCTTAAGATAATCAACTGTGAAAGACTTGGTTATTCTAATCAAGACAATGATCCTAAACAATTCCAAAAGACCCATGATAAAAAATGCTATGCACCTCCAGAGAGAGAAGTGATGAACTCTAAATGCAGATTGAAGCATATTTTTTAACTTTCTTTATTTTTATTGTTTTATTTTGTGTTTTCTTTTGTAACAGGGCTAATATGGAAATATATTTTGCATGACTTCACATGTATAACTGATGTCAAATTGCTTGCCTTTTCAAGGAAAGAGGAGGAATGGGAGAAAGGAAGAGAATTTGGAACTCAAATTTTTTTAAATGATTGTTAAATTTTTTAACATGTAATTGGAAAGTATTTAATGAAATAAATAAAAATAATTTTTTGAAAAGTAAAGTTGGACTCTGAGAAACTGAGAAACCAGTGAAGATACTGGAGAATAGAGAATGCAACATACCCTTACACACACACACACACACACACACACATACACACACACTCATAGCAGAGAGCCAGGGGTCTTATAGGACAGAATATTTAATGTATTATCAGATCTGATTATTGTTTCATATGTTACTGCTTTTACATTTTTTCTTCATCAGCCTGGATGGGTGAAGAATTGAAATGATATAAAGGTAGAAGCCATCAATAAACTATATTTTTAAAACCCTCTGTTCCTTCCTCTCCAGATCCTCAGAGTCCATACTTTGCCTGATTCAAGTGGGCCCTTCCTAGAAAACCAGCTTGCACCTCCATGTACCAGCCTCAGTGGGCATGTTGTAAAAGAGAGGCCAAATACTTTTTCCCTAAAGAGAAAGTACAAACCTGTAAGTCACCCACTCTCTTTTACTGTTGAGTACATTCAGGCAATTATATGAAGGGGTTGAAGTCAACCCTAAGATACTGTCAACAATGAAACCCTTCTTTCGCTGCCAGATTTCCTAGTCAAATTTACAACAGATAATAAAGTTCCCATGTGATGTGTCCTAATCACAACATTTCTTGACTTTCTAGTACTGGCAAAGCCATGGCCATGGGTGGAGGCAGGCAGTGTAGGTGTGAGACCTATGGTGGGGTAATTCCACATAGGTTAGCATCACCGGAGCGCTAGCCAAATGTACATCTCATCAAAAGAAGAAGACTGTCCTAGTTAGTGTCTTAGTCTTAGGAAAAAATAATAAAATATGGAAATTTCCACAAATATAAAAAATTAACATAATTTTTCCTCCTTGTATACTACATATATCATATGAGCCTGTCACTCACTTGCTATGTCAACATGATTACATTTTTTCCCTTCACCATGACTTGGTTTTCTTTGTTTGTTAGGTAGAAATGATACTACCTACCAACTTCAAAAAATTATGATAAGAATTAATGAGCTCTCTCTGGATATAGCATGTACTACATGTACATACATTTATGTAGTGAGTAGGCTCTGGGTTCACTATCCTAGAGGTGAGTATATAATGTTTCTGCACATTTCCTCACATATTTAGTTACTTTCTCAATAACCTCTCTCCCATATATGTCAAAAGGAAAAACATTTTAAATGTGAGAATAAAAGTAATATTTTACCTTCTCTACAAAGAGAGTTACCGAGAGAGTAGGCAACTCATCTTCAAATGTGCAATTATAAAATCCAGGCTCCTTTTTGTAGTAGCAAAAAATTGGAAACAAAGTAGGTGCCCATCAATTGGGAAATAGCTAAACAAGCTGTGGTACGCAAATTTAAATTAATATTACTGTGCTGCAAGAAACTGTGAATATGATAAATGCAGAGAAGAATGGGAAGACATATAAACTGAGGCAAAGTGAAGTAAGTAGGAGAATATACACAATGATTACAACAATGTATATGTAACGTACAACAACAAAACAAACCAACCTAAGCGTTATGAAATGTGAATGACTGAACTTGGCTTCAATTATGAGACATGAGAATGTATCTCCCTCCCTTCTTTGCAAAAGTGGAAGATAATGGGTGTGAAATACCAACATATAATGTTGGACTTCATTGAGGTATACGCTACTTTTGCTAAATTTTTTTTCTCTTTTTTTATTCTTTATTATAAAGAATGGCTCTCTGGAAGCAGAAGGAAAAAGGAATATATTGGAAAATGTATATTATACAAAGATAAAAGATATCGTCGAAAAAATCCAAGGTCTACTAATGACTTACAAAGGGAAAAGGGCACATCTACTGAGTTAAGATGCGGGTGCTTAGTAGGGACAGAAGTGTGGTCATGTCGAAGAAGTACATTCTTCTGACAACACAGAGCCAAGAAGCATAGGCAGAGACCAAAATCCAATGTACAAAATCCAATAGAGGAGTCTGGTGAAAGTCCCAGAGGATGAACATATGGGTTGAATATGGGTGAGTTTCATAGACTGAAGATACCAATTTAAGTTCAGAAAAGGCAGATAAGCAAAGAGGTGGATGGATAGCGCATTGGTGATGCAGAGATTAAAGTGCCAGTGAGATAGGATTTGTCTTTTATAAGCAGTAGAAACAAAGGTCATCACAAGACTATATAGTCTTACCTATCTGGTGCCCTCCATACTTTTTTAGGTCTAGAAAGATCTCTTAGTGGGTTCCTGGAAAATTAAAAGAAAAAAAACTGATAAGTGTGCATATAGATAAATGCATATATACATATATAAATTAATTCTAGTTTTTTCAATCCACAAAAATCTGTTTTTTTCTCCCTCCCAATTCCCTCCTCCAAATAAAAAAAGAAAAACAAAACTTTTGTAACAAATATACATAGGAAAACAAAACTAATTCTCACATTGTCCATGTATAAAAATATATATCTCATTCTGCACTCTGAGTCCTCTCTTGTCAGGAGATGGGTAGCAGTTTTATCTTTGGCCCTCTGGAATCATATTTGGGCATTATACTGAACAAAGTTTTTAAGTCCTTAAGTTCTTCTTAAGGTTGTGTGTCTTTACAATGTTATTGTTATTATATAAATGGTTGTCCTTAAAGTATCAGAATATTTTTTTAATTTGAAGTAAAAAAAGGTATCATTTAAAAATATATGACATAAAATATTGTAGTTTTACACAGTCTCCTAATTTATCACAAAAAGATGCTTAAGCTAAGTTATTTTCATTTGAAGTCATCTCATGAATGTCTGTTTAGCTTTTTTGTAGAGGCTTAATTGATGTCTTTCCTCTCCTCACTCACTGATCATGTATTATGTCAGCCCAGCTACATCTTCAGGCGGGGTATAATAAAGATCATCGTCTGGAACATTTGTTTGCTTGCTTTCCCCTAGTAATTGCATTACCTCACCAGGCTTTTTTTTTTTAACTTTTAATTTTTTTTTTTCCAAATTTATCTATCATCCCTTAGGGGGGAAAACAGCCTACTGAAAGGTTTTTCTTCTTGTGCACAGATTATGAAATTACAAATACATGACCCTGATCTTTTAAAGAAGCTTAGCCTTTTATTCTTTATCTAAGCTGGGAGAATATCTGAAATCCTTAGCCTTGCTACAGACCAATGATTGCATGCTATATAGCAGCAGCACTTGGGGCTATTTCCAGGTTCAAAGGGGTGGGGCAATCTAAGGAATTCTCTCATTCAGTCAGAATGTTCTTCCTCACTTACCAGCCCCTCAGTACTCACATTTTTTTTTCACAACATTTTTGGTACACTGAACATGTATAGGCCAAAACAAGGCTCTTGGGAGGTAGAAAATGGAAAGAGTGAGTTGTTTCTTACAAAATCAGATCTAGACGGAATCACAGCATCTCCAAGTTGGAAAGGACTTTATAAGTCATCTCATCCAACCAATAACTGAACAGAAATCCCATCTACAAAATCCTTACAACAAATAGTCATCCATCTTCCACTTGAAAACCTTCAATGATGTGGCCTATTCCATTTTAAGACAGTTCTAATTATTAAGAAACAATCAGTTTAGAAGATCATAAAGTAGAGGAAAATATCTGAGTTTGGAAAATAAAAGTGTAGAAAGGCTAGCAGCAATGATACAGTAGCATGAAACTTCAGCTTTGGCAGATGTAGACTCCCTCATCTCCTTATAGAAATGAGCAGGATGTAGTCTTAGAGTACCCACCATGTCTGAGAGGCCAAAGAGTCCATATAAATGAGACTTGCTATGCCCTTAGGTGACCAGAAAGCTGCATCAAGGGACAAAGGGGTCAGTCAGGTCTCAGAGACAGCTTTGTTACCCTTTAGAGAAAAGTGATCCCTGTAACAGTAGAAGGGGGCAGGTATGGGGAAACCCGCATAGATACCAGACAAGAGCTGCTCACTAAGTAGCTCATTCAGCTCTAATTGTTAGCAATTCTTCCCTTATATTGGACCAAAATCTATTCATCTTGTAATTCCTAGCCAATTGTTCCCAGCTCTACCCTCTGCAGTCACAAAGACAAGGTCTAATTTCTCTTCCATGCCACATCCCCTCAAATATTTAAAGATAGCTATGATGGAATTTCTAATTCTTCTCTTTAGGCTAAACAACCGTAGTTCCTTCAGCCATGGAATTTAAAAATGACTTCTATGGTTCCTTCCAGTTTTGGGACTCTATGTATCAATGAGTTTCAAACATAAAATAGTTTTGAGTCTCTAACCATCTCAGACACTTCACTCTGGACATCTTCTGGCTGGTCGATGTCCCTTTTATCATTTAGTACTAAAAACTGAACATAACATTCCTGAAGTTGTTTGATTGCTATATAGTACAGTGAAGTTATCATGTTCTTGTCTAGAACATACTTCTATTAATACAACTTACTATTGCATCTCTTAAAAACTCTGTTTTATTAAAAACAATATTAAACTCAATGCAAACAAGTAAACTTAGTAACTATTTAGAAAGTAGTGAACTTTTGGCAGCCACATGACAAAGCTGATACATATTATACTTGAAGTCATTCAGATGGCACAGTGGATAGGGCACCAGGCCTCGTGTCAGGAAGAGCTGAGTTCAAATCTGGCCTCAGACATTTACTAGCTGGGTGACTCTGGGAAAGTCACTCAACTTCTATCTGCCTTAGTTTTCTCAACTGTAAAATGAGGATAATAATAGCATCTACCTCACAGGGTTGTTGTGAGAATCAAACAAGACAATATTTGTAAACTATTTAGCACTGTACCTGGCACATAGTAGGTATTAATGAATCTTTGTTTCCTTCCTTCCCTTTCAACCAAATCAGCCCTAGAATGTAGACCTGGGAGAGACCTTAGAAATCAACAAGTCCAGCCCCTTCCTCTTATAGATGATGAAACTGAGGCCTAGAGAAATTAAATTAATTACCCATAATTACACATAGAAAGATAGACTTTTTTAAAATATGCACTATTGTCTAACCATACTTCTCCCATACTGTGCTATTTTCTGTAGTGTCCAACTCTTTGCAACTCCATTTGCGTTTTTCTTGACAAAAATACTGGAGTGGTTTGCCATTTCCTTCCCCAGCTCATTTTACAGATGAGTAAACTGAGGCAGAGTTAAGTGACTTGTCCAGGGTCACACAGCTGATAAGTGTCTGAGACCAGATTTTAACTTCAGACTCCAGACTAGGTGCTCTATCTACTGCACCACTTATCTGTCTCCAATGATGTACAACTGACTTTTTAAATGTATGTGCAGGAATTTACAATTCTATCTATTAACTTCCATCCTGGTAGATTCAGTCCACTGTTCTAGTCTGTTACACTTTGGGTTTTGGGTTATTGTGGGGTTTTTTTTATACTTTCGACAAAATAATTAACTATACCTTTGAGTTTTACATCAACCAAAAATTGGATAAGCATGCCATATATGTCCTTCTCCATATCACTGATACAAACACTGGGCAGAACAGAATTTGAACAGAGTCCTGTGATATGTCACTAAAGACCACTCTTTGAGTTTTGACATCAATTCATTAATCAGTATTCTCTGGATTTATCTGTTCTACCAGCTAGGAAATCAACTAATCTTGCTGTCATTCTACATGTGTCCCTCTCGCCCACAAAAATATCAAGGGGACTTTTTTTTTTTAAGGCAATCGGGGTTAAGTGACTTGCCCAGGGTCACACAGCTAGTAAGTGTCAAGTGTTTGGTCTGAGGCAGGATTTGAACTCAGGTCCCCCTGACTTCAGGGCCGGTGCTCTATCCACTGTGCCACCTAGCTGCTCCTCAAGGGGACTTTTGTCAAATGCCTTACTGAATCAAGTCAAGCATTTGTCAGATGCTTTGCCTTAAAGCAAAACTTCTTGCAGACATCTGGGTAGTTAGTCTCCCCTCACTACCATCTGGCGCCTTCTTACTTCTACAGCCTTCTTGTACTTTGTTTCCCTCCACACGTTCTCTGATCCAGCTACTTAGCGTTCCTTGCACAAGCCGCTCTATCTCTTAACTCAGTGCCTTTCTTCAGGCTGCCCTCACTGCCTGGAATGCTTCCCCTTCTTTCTCACATGTGCCTTTCAGTCTGCCTGGCTACCTTCAGTACTCAACTCCAACACCACCTCCTGCGGGAGGCTGTTCCCGGTACCTTCCTCCCAGAGATGATAATGTCCCATCTACTCTGCACGTAAGTTATTTACCAGGTGTCTCCCTCATTAAAATGTGAGCTCTTTGGGGGCAGGGGCTGTCTTTTCCTTTCTTTGTATCCCTACACACACAGTACAGTGCCTGGCACAGAGGAAGTACTTAATTCATAAATGTTTACTGACTGATGATCTCTGAACCAGTTTGTGATCTGTCTCAGAAACTCATCGGTCATTCCTTTCATCTTTCTGACGGTTTCTAAGATAAAACTCCCAGTGTCCACTAACTCAACTGCTCCAAATGCCCTGGCTTGAACTAAGTTCTCCTCTTCCCTGCTTCATCCCGGCAAGCATCAGTAAGAGCAGTTGGTACACCTGTGGCCTTACCTTGTCTCTGTTTTTGCAGGAGAATAAAAGACTGCAAAAGAAAAGGGGAAAGGAAAACTTTAGTTTAAAAATCATGGTAACATTGGTGCTCTATGCATTATGCTTTTTAAAAAAATTTTATTTTACTTCTAATTTACAGAATAAAACAAGCATTTCTATGACATAGTACAATAAAAAAGATGATTGCATATGAAACAATAAATCTACTACATACAACCTGTTATTCCTTTCACACAAAATTATCATGTAAATTTCTTTTTTTTTCTTCCTCCTCTCCCCGCCCTAGAGATAGCTACCATTAGACACAAATAGGTACATATATATATATATATACATATACATATATATAGAGAGAGATAGATGTAAAATCATTCTATACACATCTATTTATCAGTTCTTTCTTTGGATGCAGCGGCTTGTTTTTTTTTTGTTTTTTTGCAATTGGGGTTAAGTGACTCGCCCAAAGTCACACAGCTATTAAGTGTCAAGTGTCTGAGGCTAGATGTGAACTTCTCCAAGTCCTTCTGACTCCAAGGCCCGTGCTCTATCTACTGCGCCACCTACCTGCCCTAGATGGTATCTTTCTTCATATGTCCTTTATAATTAATTTGGGTATTTATAATAGTCAAAATAACTTACTCACTTAAAGTTGTTCTTAACACAACATTGCTGTTACTGTATACAATGTTCTCTTGGCTCTGCTCATTTTGCTCTTCATTATTTTGTGCAAGTCTTTCCATGTTTTTCTAGGATCATTGAGCTCATCATTTCTTATAGCACAGCAAAATTTCATCACAATCACAACCACAACTTGTTCAACCATTCCCCAATTGTTGGGAATCCCTACAATTTCCAGTTTTTTGCCACCATGTAGGTTCTTTTTCATTTTCCCTAATTATCTTTGGAAATAGATGAAGTAGTATTGCTGGGTATAAGTAGTTTAATAACTCTTTTGGCATAATTCCATATTGCTTTCCAAAATAGTTAGATTAGTTCACAATTCCACCAACAATGAATTATACTTTATAATAATTATGCAACCTTTATAAAATAACTGGCAGATAAAATAATAAGTCACTCATCTAGGTAATATTATATAAAAATAACCATCACATTTTCCTTGTAGCAAGTCACTCACAAATTGAAGCCAATTGATTTTGTTGTTAAGATAACATTGATTTTTTTTCCTCACTCATTTGTTACAATTTGAGGATTGTGATTTAAAATTTGGATGGTAGCTTTGAATAATGTTTTTATTGCACTGTACATGAGTATAGTAACAGGAATAATAGTCATCTACCTTAAACAATATTCTATAAATAAATGGGCCCAATTTTACAAAGGAAGTAGGAAAAATAAAATTCTAATTCAACCACTTAAGTTCCATTCTTATGATTTGAACATGTCTTCAATAGTTATCAAAGAAAATTGTAGTACAATTTGTACATTGCCCAACATTTCTCCTAATAGTCCCATGGTGTTTTTTCTCCTTGTCGTATCTACCTGAAACCAAGAGTACTCAGAACAATGCTCGTAGCTCATAGTTAATATAATCATTTTAAGTAACAAAAAAGGTGGAAAGTTTTTCTTTGAACCATAGTAATCAAAAGCTGAAGTGAGCAGATGTAAACAAGTAGATTCCAGTCTTGGGTGTTTCTTCTCTTTCATTATCAGCTTTTACTACTACATACAAGAATTCCTATGCAGTTTCTATTTTTAAAAAATGCATAGAATAAATAAGAATCTAGTCCAAAAGTGAGGATTAGAAGACCAGACAAATGCTGAAAAACAGACAGTGGTATTTTCTGGGTAAAGGTTAGGTCATGCCTGTCTCTTCAGTTATTAAGAAGAAAGACACAAGTCTGACATCATTTAATGTCTATAAATAGATTGTGGTTTTACTTCTAAAGCTCTAGTAAGAATTAACAGAACTCCTTCTGTCTCCAATTGCAATCCCTTTGTAATGTGGCAGCTTTGAGGTATCTGGGTGGCACAGTGAATAAAGTGCTGAGCTTAGAGTCAGGAAGACCTTAGTTCAAATCTGACCTCAGACACTTACTGTATGACAATGGGCAAGACACTTGCCCTCAGTTTCCTCAACTGTGTGAAATGGTAATAAGAACTGTAACTATCACAGGTTTGTCAGTGTAATCAAATGATTATTTGCAAAGTACCTGGCACATAGTAGGCACTGTAAAAATGATTATTCTCTCCCTTTTCCTCCCCTCTCCCTTTAAGACTGAAATCCTTAAATTCCATCAGATAAATGTTATATGCATCTGGAATATTTCAAAAACCTAATTTAAACCCTATATATTCAGATCTTTGCCATGACAAGCTTTTGCTAGTTCTGCCACATTATTATTTGTGGAGACAGATTCTCTAAGACATTATTTTCTTTGGGAGATCCCAAGCAACTCTGAAAGTTTCGTAATGACTTTTACTTCCTTAGGGTGTATTGTTCCTTCTTCGGGATGATTACTTTAATTGATGTCAATAGATTCCATGCTTCAGGTAGAGGTTGAAGACCAATATCACCATCAATATTAAGAAGTGATATCTCTAAAGAAACCTAGAATGCTACAAAACACAGAAGGAAAATCTGTCAGATAGGCTACTAATCAAGCCAAGGAAAAGGTAGATGAATCTTACAGGTAAAAGGTAATTTTCTTAATTTTCCTGTTTCTTTTTTAAGGTAACTACATTTCTGGTTAGACATACTCAAATTCCATAACTGTGGGAAAGTTGAAAATAACAGGTTGAGAAGACCTTATTTCTGTCAGTTTTTAGTCACCTAGTGAGTTGTGAAAGTTAGAGCATCTTTTCTCTGTGTTGTGTTAATATAGTTACAAAGCCTATTTTCCATCTTTAAACGCAGAATTCTCATAGGTCAGAAAATAGCCAGTGAAAGTAGAAAAAAAGTGAATATGACTAAAATTTTCACCCATTGCATTTTTATATGATAATTTTCTTGGCTATATACTTTTTCCTCTTTGTTTTAGAGAACAAGCCTTTTAGATGCTGTGCAAAGACATCTATTGTCAACTATCTGTGTCCAAAGCTGAAAAAAAAATCACTATAATTCACGAACTAGGATTCTGATTATACTTCTGTTCTGAAGGATAATCAATGATTTTAAATGAGACCATGTTTGTTGACTGAAGGTTTCAAGCAATAGAAAGTCTTTGCTAGCCTATGGTGCTACTAAGGAAAATAAAAATCTTTAAAAATAAAGCATACTTGTTGAAATTCATATGTACTTTTATTTTTTTAAACACTGATGGCATTAATCAAGATAGAATATAAATTATAAAGGTTGACAGCAGATAGGTGAACAGAATTGTGAATTCCCAAATTTATTTATTGATCTTGTCTTTGATAATATCTTTCTGACAGCTTATAGTTCATATTAACATATATATTTCATGAGACAAATTTGTTTACAAAATAAAGAAAGTTTCAAAAATAATCATTCATTTACTTCAATGGAAAAAATATTTTTAAAGGACTTCTATATGCAATCCTCTGTGCTATCCTCTAGGAATACAAAGATAAATATGAAATAGTCTGCTCTCAAGAAGCTTGAAATTTAAAGGAGGGAAATGATGGTCAAAGGATATAAAAAGGCAATCTTCAAAGGAAGAAATCCAGACTATCAATAGCCATATGAAAAAATGCTCCAAATGACTAGAGAAATGGGGGGATAAAAGGCACATCTATATACTATTGGTGGAGTTTAGAATTGATATAGCTATTCTAGAAAGCAATGTGAAATTAGGCTCCCTAAATCACCAAACTTTATGTGCTCTTTAACGCAAGTGATACTTCTACTAGGCCTATATCCCAAAGAGATCAAAAAAAAGAGGAAAAGGCACAACTGTTACCCCTGTGAGGTATAGAGCCATCCGAGCTCCCCACCCTCCATATTTGCAGTGCTCCAACTTAACTACAAGGCAGGCAACAAGGCACAAAAATATTTATAGCAGCTATTTTTATGAGACAAAACTGGAAGCTAAGGGACTGTCCTTCAATCACAGACTAGCTGATCAAATCATGTTATATAAATGTAACAGAATACTATTGTGCTGTAAGAAACAATGAAAGGATGCTTTCCAAGAAATCTGGGAAGATTTTTATGAACCTAATACAAAGTGAAATGAACAGAACCAGGATGACAATTTTTACAATAGCAACACTGTAAAAACCACTTTGAAATATTTTAAGAACTCTCATCAATACAATGACCAAGTAAAATTCCAGAGAGGTGGATGGAAAGAGAGGTAATGAACTCAAAATGTAAAATAAGACAAACAATTTGGACATGAACAAAGAAATTTGTGTTAGATGACTGTGCATATTTCTCACAACATTTTTTTTAATCAAAGGGAGAGAGTAGGAGAAGCAGGAGGAAGAAAAAATAAATGTTTGTTCATTGAAAATCAAATTTAAAAAAAAAAGAAACCTAATAGGAGAGATGGAAGATCAAGTATACAAAAAAGTCTAATTTAAAGGAAAGTAAGATAAAGGCAAAGGAAAGATCCAGGCAAAATGTTATGGGAAATTTGAGGAGAAAGATCACTTTCAAATGAAAGGTTTGGTCAGAGAAGACTTGGTGGAAGAGAAGAAACCTGTGGTGGGCCTTGAAGGAAGGAAGAAACTTCATTAGATGAAGAGGGAGTGGTGGAATCCCTTCCAGTCACGGAGGAAGACATGAGCAATAGCATAGAAACTAGAGAGGTAAGGATAAGACTGGGAAAACAGAGGGCAGTCCAGTTTGACTAGACTGTAGGGTATATGAAAGGGATTCATTTAAGATAAGCTTGTACAGGTAGGTTGGAGCCAGATTGTGGAGGACCTTAAATGCCAGGATAAGGAGTTTATATTTTATTAAATAATGAAGAGGGGAGAGGATTCTGGGAAGATGGCGGCGGAGTAGGTGAGAAAACTTTCGGCTCTCCAAATTTCCTCCACAGAAAAGACAGAACATTGCCTGGGAGGAAATGTAGAGCAGCAGAAATAAACAAAAGGCAA